GGATTAGGAGTTTGAGAATCGTTGGGGATTCAGGAATTGGGGAGATCGGGGAAGGGGAGGGTAATTGGGCCTCCGGTAACCTTAAGCAAGCGTTGGATCACGTCGGTTTTCTGTGAGGCCGTGGTGGGCTATCACTCCGGCCGAGCCGGCCCATTCGTGACGAAGCATGGCTCTCCCACTCTGATCATGTTATAGCAGCATTTTATGAACAACAGACATCTTCTATCACGCAATACCTACAGACCAACCTGATACTAACACAAAAAACTTTTCTCCAACATCGGTAAAATATTCCTTGACCTCAGCGGATTTTCATATCAACATCTAGAAACATAAGAAGTACAATATTATCCCAAAGTAAGGTTAACATGAAAAGTTTTGCTCATAAGTCGCGAACTCGGCTCGACCGCCGGCTTCACTTGTACGTCCAACTTTCCATGTAATGGAACTTTCATGCTGATATCGAATCGAATCAATCGGTGAATGGTTCGTGAGCAACAATTCATACAGAAGGACCACTCGATGCTTTTAGTCTAGATGATGTACTTAGACTCACCCCCTGTTACGTGGGACACATAACATAAATAGTGAAAAGTAGGTGTTACATTGCACAGTGACATTAAATGCCGTAATGTACACCTCTGCCTACCTCTTCGGGGATAAAAGGCGTGATGCTATGTTATGTTATGGTGTTCTTACTGTGATGCCAAAACAAAAACCGAACAACTGATTCCTAGTGTGGTGTATTCAACCAATTTCTCGAAAAGGAGGAGGTTCTCAATTCGGTTGGTATGCTTTTGTTCCTTTTTAAAAAAAAATACTTGATCAATTCCAAATTCTCTGTGCTATAAAATGCTTTTCGGGCTCCACAACAAAGAAAAGCATCTGACTTTATGGTACCTAATTAAGGTATAAGATCTTCGTAGTATTTAGATTGTGTTTACCTCCAATCGCGTTGTCTATTGCAAATTAGTTTCCAATATACATGGTGTCATGTCGCAAAAAAAAATAATTTGTACTAATAATAAAATTAAATAAAATTAGCAGGTTGAAGCACGCTGTTCATGAGGAAAAGCTCCTCTCAATTTTATCAAAACTCATTGGCACATTGGCTCAAAACTAGTACAGCTTTCCTCACGTAAGCAACCCACGATTTTTAGGTAATTTTGTGTCTAACGATGGTTATTAAAAAAACAATAATAAAATTGACAATTTACCTGTAAATAATGGGAAGAAGTATGCCAGAATCGTGTCAGTTGTCAATGTATTGTGAATTGTCTCTGCTTTTTAAGGATTGTTATGTAGACTTAGGCAATTTGAAATAAGTGTCCGAATACCTGTTCCTGTTGAGTAAGTGCATTTTATATTGTACTCAAAACTAAAAGTTGTTCAAACTGGTCCTTCGGTCCGTATCCCATACGATGGCGTATAAACATCTATTTTTGACGTACGAAGGTCGAGCTCAATAAACAATACCGGGAGCAGGTGCTCACAGTACGGCTCGCGTGATTATAATTAAATGTTTTCACATATTTTCTATGTTCAAACTATATGTTATTTTGTTGGAGGACGTAATTAGTTCGTATGTAGTATGTTTGACAGCCTCTTTGTGCCGAGTGGTCGCAATTGCGACTGTCGGGAAAGGGGTCTCAGGTTGGATTCCCGGATGTGGCAAAGGATAACTGGGCTTTTTCAAAAAATCTCAGTAGTAGCACGGAGTCTGGAGTTGTGCCCAGTATATGGCAATAGGCTCACCCTCTATTACATGGGACTCATAACATAAATTGTGAAAAGTGGGTGTTATATTGCACAGTGGCATTAAGTGCCGTAATGTACATCTCTGCATCTATGTCTAATAGGAATGCAAAAGGAGTGATGTTATGTTTATGTTGTAGTATGGTTGATGTAGAGTCATGGTGACTTGGAAATTTAAGCCACGGCTTCTCAAGCATGAGAGTGCTGGTTCAAAACCAACCAACAGCAGGTAGCAATGTGACTTATGCTGGGTTATATGTACATACTTTCTAAGATTATTTACACACCATTGACAAATAGTTAACGGAAACATTAAACTAATAATAATTAAAATAACACACACAAACTCAAACACGTAATTGATATTATTCCTAATTCCATAAAACTCCAATAAGAAACATTGCTGTCGCTTATTCTGAAATACTGTCGAACTTAAACGATTTATCATAGCCGTATTTTTAACTATTGGCCCGAAACTTTCTCTTACATTGAACCTTCATGACTTCTGTGACATGCCCCCGAGAAATGCCACGGTTTTTAAACTACACCTATATACATAAATATTTGACGGGCCGACGTTTGACCACTGTCGAACCTGGTGGTAAGCGATGATGCGGTCTATAATTTACGATGGAACACGTCATCCCATAAGCGACCTATTCACTCGGGCCTTGTACACATCTAGGTTATACCCTTCAGGAAATACATACTCTGGCAAAGAATTCCACTCTTTAGCAGTACGCACAAGGAAGCTTGATGCGAATGCTTGAATTCGGGAGTAATACATAAATTAGAATACACTAGTAAGTATCTAGGATTTAATGGAATGGAAATTATCAAGATACAGCTAACACATGACATGTGTTACCTACCTAGTATTGATTACTATGTTATCTTCACCGGCAAAGGGCATTGATAAATACTACCTACATACATGCGTACCTACTTACATTCTAATAATATCGATGAACACACGTAGGATACAAAAATGATTGTGCTGATTTGGACCTAATGTAAGTTCAATTGAAAAATAGTAACGAAGGTATTAATTAAACATAATCATAAGTAAGGCTGTGTGACGTCACCGCGTCTGCGTACGCTGCTTAAAAGAAAGAGTCCCAATATAACTCGAAAATAGTAGAGCGTTTCTCAATATACTAACGAAAGTTAACTTTTTTTTATTATTTTAGTATGTGTCACAGCAGTTACTATAAAAAAAATATTGTAGTAAGCTATGGAGTTTCTTGCTCGTTCTTCTCCATAGGAATTTACACTTTGGAACGAGTAAATAGCTTCACTAGAGAACTCAAAGTCAAAGTCAAAGCATTAATTTTAATTAAACCATAATTTAGTACTTTTGAAACGTCAGCAAAAATATAAAATAAATAATAGTCTGGCAGTCTATCCGTCAGTGAAGCTAGGTGCTCGATCTAAAATGTAGAATCGAATGTAGAAGAACGAGAGAGAAACTCCATCGTTACTTTTTTTAAAAATGTTTTTTGTACAGTCTCATTGATACATTATCTGGTCCTTTACCTATTGTATATTGTATAAACTATTTTACTAACTAACTATGTTTCTATGAACTTCGAAATTGCCTTATTGATAAAACAAATTAGTAGGTAATTAGAATAATAAAACTAAAGAAGAATAATAGTAAAGGTAACTCAATTATTATGTTTTCGGCTAACTCACGTAATTATTTGACGAGGAATTCGACTACCATGAGTCTCTAGCATGGCTTGAAACTAGTCGAGTTCCTCGTCAAATTATTATATGAGTAAACTGAAAACATAATAATTAATTTAGTATGTCTCACGAAAGTTATAATATAAGTAAAGGTAACTGTTGAAAGAATAATAAAAGTCTTTGACCAATAATAGTCATATGTGTTGCGTATATTTTATATATAAAAAAATTAAATTAATATTACAAAACATAACAAAACAATAAAGCAAGCAATGAAAAGATACATTATTAGGAAAAACTAAAATTAATTAAATACTATGGTATGTTTACGTAAAGACACACTTTTCAGCTTTATAATAAAAGACTGCCTTGTTGGCCGAGTGGTCGCAAGTGCGACTGCCGGGCAAGGGGTCTCGGGTTCGATTCCCGGGTCGGACAAAGTATTACTGGCTTTTTTAAAAAAAATCACAGTAGTAGCACGGAGTCTGGAAATGTGCCCGGTATCCATATACAATAGGCTCACTATTATTACATGGGACTCATAACATAAAATATAGTGGAAAAGTGGGTGTTACTTCTGTGTGCATCTCTGCCTACCCCTTCGGGGATAAAAGGGATAACTTCACGTTATGCCATGTTATGTTAATAAAAAAAAACAAAATGAAATTAAACAAATATCTTGGTCCATTTAACTGACGCCCTCGCTTCATTAAAAAGATTTTATTTCTTATTAAACCTGGATCTAAATCCTATAAATATCCCATTTAAGTAAAGGATTAAGTGGGATTAGAAACGATATTATTATAACCAATTTTATAGAAACAACAACAACGTTAATCCTTCTTTGTATTTTTTTACTTTATTTGGATTTATTTTTAAACTTAGTCTACCAATATTTGTTAAAGACTTTCAGTATTCGAAGTGTCCCGCAAATAAAAGCAGTTTTTTGTTTCAAACTAAAATCTATGAGTGTAGTTTTTGTTTAGGCCCTTTAAGTTGTAAATTGGACTTAATGTTAAGCTAGTTAAGAGTTAAAAACGAATGGCTTAACTTTAAATGATGATAAGTTTTTATTCCCAATAAGGGCTCGTACACAATCCTGCGATGCGCTGCGATGCGAATTCGCAACGCAAATAACTACGATGCGAATTGCTATGATGCGATTTCGTGCGACAAGGCGTCTCCCATTGACGACCGTGAACCGTACTAAAGGAATTTTAAATTTGACAATAGGTCGTGTCATGGATCGTAAAAAGAAGTGTGCACTTCTGTTATTGCTTAGGAGATACAGGAAAAAGAAACAAAAAGATTTTGATGCGCGATGCGAATCAATACGCAAGTCCTTGCGATACGTAGAGGGAGCTCGCACATTTTTGCGATGCGACGTTACATCGCAGCTTTGTGTACGAGACCTAAGTAATAGGCTATACTGTGTCGCGGGCTCAATTCACACACGAAGAAATAAGTTGTGTGAACCATTTTTTTTAAGGGGGGAAAATCATCGAATGACTGCTCCCGCCTGGGTGAGGCGGAAGGGAGTGTCAGACTCTTACTGACTAAAAACCACCCCGTTCCTTCTCCTGCGCTTCGAGCCAGAGCCCCGGTAACCCGTTAGGTTCTCCGCGACTTCGTATCAGCATCAGCCCTGTTAGGCCCCATCTGTGGTGGTCTGATGGCTCTTTGAGTAGCGCGCGGAACGCGACGCGCCGTACGCTCGAGTCTGGTTCTGGTCGGGCGGCGAGCCACCCATCATGCTCGCCGTCCGTAGGCCCGCGCTTACGGTCGGTGGCCAGAGATCGTAAATTGTGTGAACCATACTCTGTTGTTTCAGATAGTGTATTGTATAATACAACAATATGTGAGGAGGTGGAGGCCCGATCGGCAGGGAGATGAATTTATTTTTGTCATATTTCAGTTTATTATTTTAATTTTGTGATGCCTATCTTTTTTATGCTATTCATTATTCTTGTATACATCTCTGTGCATGTAATGTGCCGAATATTTATTTTCTTTTATGTTCGACCATGATACACAAGAAATTTCTGATGTGACAATAAACAATATATAACTTCAATAAGATAGAAACAAAAGACTACTTTCGTAAACTTAAAACACCACTCTAGAACTACGAACATCATACTAAAATATCACCAATAAATAAAAATGTTGCAACATGTATTACAGGCAATATTTTTAGACAAACTCACAAACTAGGCCGCCAGGAGTTACGCTAAGTTTCAGCAAAACTTTGCTTTTATAAATAAACCTTCTTACAAGGATTAACTATGTTCTCATGAGAAATGTATTTACTGTCCTTTAAGGTATTTTTTTGGTCTATTTGACTGCATTTTAGTGTTACATTGTTCTCACACAATCCAAACAACAAAACTGACAGGATATGAAAATTAAAAAACAAACGACAGGGTATGAAAATTAAAAATCTAATTAGTCCGTACGATAAGTAATGAAAAAATATTAGACACGTCTTTATTTATTTTGTCATAAAATAAAACAGTACTTAGACAAATCGAATCAAAGTTTAGGAGTGGGGGCTAAAACATCATTTCTACGTATAAAATGTACATAGAAGTGACGTCACGCGACATTTCCAATCAACATATAGTCGAAAGTATTCGTTTCTGTAAGAAAATAAAAAATACGCGTGTCTAATGATTTAAAATAATCTACCAGACGGACATTAAAATAAAAATTAGGCATCTATCCTATTCTCTAACCAGAGACAAAGGTATGAAAATAAATAAAGTTTAAAGAAAAAAAAAGAGAAATAGTTTATTTGTACTGTTACAATATAAAAAAAAAATTGAAAAAAAAAAACAATGAACAGCGCAAAAAGGCCAGTGCTCAACTAAAACGCCATGACCCGAGCGCAATAGCTCGGGTCTTTTTTTTCTTTTTTTATATTTGATGGGCCGACGTTTACCCACTATCACGCCTGGTGGTAAGCGATGATGCGGTCTACGATGGAGCACGTCGACCCATAAGCAATCGCAACGCTGATTTTCAGTTTTAGCCAGTAAATAATATCATCATAATAATCTTGATGACACTACTTCATTATGTCGCACCTAATTTTAGGTGTGTCCCACAATATGTCAATGATACTCATAAACTATGTAAATACAAATTTCCACGAATAATATAAAGCGTTATGGTCGATGTGGGTGTCGTTTACAATGGGTGCCTGATGGCTAATATCACATGCTGGCAGACCAGAACGAAGTGATTCTGTTTGGTGGTAGAAATAGATTTACGAAGACAAGTCATCAGGTGATTATTCAAGGTTGTATTATTGGTATCGGTTTTAAAAATATACTCTTCAAAAACAGCAGTTTCTAATCATTCACGATAGAATTTGTGATTTTGGGATTCAAAAGAAAATTATTTAAAAAAATGCGTTGTAGAACGCAATAAAAGTGCTAAAATTCCAGATTTTTTTTTAATTCAATGATAAGGGCGCAATTTTCTTTCCGTAAGACCAATGTCTTGTGCGTACCATTCTAAATTTCACCTTTTTATCCTTATTCCTCTAGATAGGGATTCCTTCCTGACTCATACAATCAATATTACCACAAACCAACCCCTGTCAATATTTGTAAGATCGTAAAGACTCAAATTCGTCCACAGTACGATTGTGACCCCAAAATAAAACTGACTACTGACAATTGGCGCGATGGCTGGGCAACTGTAAAAACTGGTAAAACTCTTTGTATGATCCACAGATTGTTGTTCTGTGTCTGGATGTCATGTGTATGTGAATTCGTATGTTTGTAAACGCACCCACGACACAGGAGAAAGTCTAAGTTTCAGAGTGCAAAGTTTTATAAAAAAAAGAAAGTCCATTCACCCTGTTATACTGAACTTGTTATTTCTTTAAACAATTCTAATCTCCTCAACCCCTAAATGCCCAGTCATCAAATCCCAAATACCGGCAATGCATTTATAATTCCTATGGTCTTTCGAATGACCATGGGCAGCGCCAATTGCTTACCATCAGATTTTCCTTCTGCTGATTATCCCATAAAAAGTAACTCTCAAAATCTATTTTTGAACTCCGTAGTAACTATATAAATATATTTATATTTACACCACTAAAACCTTGAACTCCACATGTTTTCTCACCACGAACTTCCGTCTCTGGTACAAAATTTACAATATTGTGGAGTTTATGTGGTCGTTTCTGATTTACTTGGTTTCCTGGGTAGTTTGCGGTTGGTTTATGGACAGAATACCACAATGTATTATAAATATTATGGTAGGAGTATGTTGGGTAGTAACTATAGGATAAGTTTTACATGAAGATAAAATTGGAGTTTTATTCCGTTCAAAATGGTCATATGATATTATTTTATGATCGCTTTTCATTCCTAAAACTGTTGAAAGTATTTTTATCAGAATCAGAATCAAAAACAGAATATTTTTATTTGTAAACATAGCAAAATTTATATATTTGAATATTATAGTTGTTCATAAGTCATAAAATTATGATGTTATTTAATTAGATGTTCCTTAATTTAGAGAAACAGCATTGTTTTCCACAGAGAAACAGGTCCGCCGAAGTATTATGATACGTTGTTTACGTATATGTAACAGATCATATTTATGACGTATAAAACCTTAGTGACATTAGAAAATAACTGTTTAATAGTCTGTGAACAGATGCTGATACTGTACAGCTACGTAAAATTAAGTGTTAAAAAATTGTTTCTTAGAATCATCCGTCCATTCATCACACAAATATATTTTATTGTCTCAAAGACTTCAGTCACCATTTAGATCATAAATAAATTATAAGTCTATGACGTATATAAAAATCCATAAGTGCACAATGATCAGGATAATACCGATTACAGATCAACACAAACAGTGTTTTTCAAAACCGTATCTTATTACAAAAATATAGTACTTAAAATCCAAAACCCCTCTTCTGAGTCTATTTAAAGAGACTCCGCGTCATTGGACTGTAGAAATACATTTTTTATGGGCATTAAAATCCTAAATTGTATTAAAAGTAAGAAATATCTTAAACCGCAGTTTCCCGAAGCTTCATCTGTTGTGTTCAATGAGACACGCGTAGAAGTAAACGTGGACAATATAAAAAGAGAAGTTGATTAGAGTGAATAATGTATCTTTCCACTCACTTGTTGTGTAGCCGAAGTCATCTTCTTCTTCTGGGTCCGCTTCCTTCTCTTCTTTGCTGCGCTTTACTGCTCCTGCTGATGCTCGATCGATCTGGGGGATGAAAGGACCAATGTTAGTGTTGAGAAATGAAATTTTTGGTCCTTAGTGTCGAGGGGTGTTTGGATTTTGGTTGCATGTTTTGTTTTATTAAAGTTTTCTTCTATATTGTGCTTTGCCATTGGTAACTCTGCCCAACATGCATGCATGGTTACTACGACTTAAGTATACTATTGGATATCATTTAAAATATACTAACTTACTTTCACATACACAATTTTTTAAAAGGAAACCTGAGCCCTGTTTAGAAGGTCACAGTATAGTTATTATTTTAGTAGCATACCACGAACAGCGAACTCTAATTACTTTGTTTGCATCGGTGCCCTTGACACTCGCAATAAAAGTTCGCAAAAAATGGCAAGTTAGAATCATCTGCGACAGAAATTTTCCCTCCAAAATTCTTTCCCCAGGTTCTTCAAAAACACCAATTAATTATTCAAATAGTTGACAGCGGTTCATCAATCTTCTTATTTTTGGCGCTTCCCTTAGTGTAAGTCATTTTATATTTTTTATAGTAGATATGGGGACGTCAAAAATCATTGTGTGTGTTTTTGAGTTCCAAATTAATTCTTTACGGAGCCAATAAAAGCATTTTTCAACAGATATTATTTTTGGAGCAGCAGCATTGTCTATTTTATGGGATAAGCCGGTTAACAAGCAGACAGAACTGTCTGACAGAGCTGTCTTACCATCGTAAGCAATCGACGTCGCTCATGGTCACCCAAAACATCAGAGGCGTTACAAGATGCGTTACCGGCCTTTTGGGGATTTAAGGATTGTTGGGAATTCAGGGATTGAAGAGATTGAGGAAGTCGGTAATTCGGTCTCCGGTAACCTCATTCACACGACGAAACACAACGCAAGCGTTGTTTCACATCGGTTTTCTGTGATGCCGTGGTATCACTCCGGTGAACCGGCTCATTTGCGCCGAAACATGGCTCTCCCACACTTGTCTGTTTCTCTTTTCTTAGACTTTTAATGCAAATTATTATTTAAGTGCTTCTTGTACTAAATTTTCCATTTTCTAATTTATCTGTCACACTCTTTCATTCTCTTTCTCGTCGACAACAGTACACACAAGACAAATGTTCACCATCATCATCATAATCTTTTTTATCCCTCTTACTCTTACTCACCTCAACTCCTTTATCCGAATAAGTCCTGCCCTGCAGTTCCCTCTCATCTTCCTCGTCACTACTCTCGGAGTCGGAGTACACCACTTTAGCTGGTGCTGGTGGAGGATCACTCTCCACTGGCTTCTCACTGTCAGTCGCTTCTTTTTCCACGTCAGCTTCTGATGTCACCGTTATCTGAGGAGAAGAGTTTGGAATTAAGAAGAGGACTCTATGTTTTTGGAATAGAGTTCAAAGTTATTAAAGACTGTTTAGTAAAAGTGTTATTGTATGTTTTTGTGTGTGTAATCTAAGATTTATGTTAAAATGCATTATAATTTGTAGCATATAAGTTGGATTATTCTTTAACGTAACTTTGCACGCGATTCTCCTGGGTTCCGACTTAGAAATGTAGTGGATAAACAAATGACAAATCTTTGACGTCACTTCGCTTGAGAAGGACAAGGACAGAAATATATTGTGCTACTTTTCCCATAAAGCTGATTACAATGAGAGTGTCGAAAAACAGGAAAATTTTATTAATTTATATATCGTCTCCTAAATTATCAGTTTTATGAATTATATAATTCATAGAAAGAACTATAAAACAAAATAATAGTAGGAAAAGACAATGGCGACCTTGAAGCGAGATCCCATAAAATTATTATGGCCGTGACGTTGACTTTTATGTGTTGAGAAATTATTACATGGTGTATAATTTATTGCCGACTCGCATACCTAGACCTTATTATAGGCACACAAATCATTTTACTCACACGGTATGGTGAAACTTTTAATTGGCTGTTTATTAGTAGCGACCCTTTGTTTATGGGGTACATGGTTCTAGCTATTTATTTAAAAATATTAGTCGTATTCGGCGTTTAACCTTGTAGTTTGAAAAATCGGTTACCATTGAAAAATTAACTTTGTAGGGAGCAACAGATTTTATTTGGTTATCCTATTTGGATTGGGACCTACTCAAAAGACATCTTCTAAATCTAATACCTTCAACACGTTAACCGCCACGTAGGTCACTGGTAATCTACGTTAGCGGAGGATTTACCTTCAGTATTTTTTTGTCGGCAGTCAAAGGCTTAAACAAGCAATTCTAGCATTTATTATAATTATATCAAGGATCTCGGAAGTGGAATGAAGGATTTTCTTAAAATTTTGTATTCAGGGGGTTTCGGGGGCGACAAATCGATTTAGCTAGGTTTCATTTTCAAAAAATGATGGTTACTAAAAAAAACAGCGAGCAAAGCTCGGTTATCCAGGTACCAAGTATACATTCAGTCAAAAAAATATCGGGAATGGATGATTTGTTTATGGTTCCAAATTCAAATTTTTGTGTTTTTGTTTTTAGATTGACACAACTGTTTTCCATTTTGGCGCGGAGTTTGAGTTACATCTGTTATCTGTATTAAATAAAGTGCTGGCTTAGTAATATCATCCTTACTATAATATAATATATCCTTACTAATATTATAAATCGGAAAGTGAATTTGTTTGTTTGTTTGTTTGTTCCGCTTTCACGCCGTAACTACTAAATCGATTGCTTTGAATTTTGGCAGACGTAAAGTTAGAAGTCCGGATTAAATAATAGGGTACTTTTTAACCCGGAAAAATGATATTCCCGAGGAAAAACAAAAGTATTGGTATAGATGGCGCTGTGTGTATTGGTATATGTCACATAGGCTACTTTTTATTCTTTTATGACGCGAGCGAAGCCGCGGGTAAAAGCTAGTACATACATACGGGCAAGTCCACTGATAAAGTTTCCGATAACCGAGTCAAAGACGTGGTATTATGAAATCGTAGACATAATAAAGTCAAGTATCTTCTGAAAGATTTCCGTCACATTCATTCTTGTCTATCAACTTTACATCGTCTTACCTTGATCTCATGCTGTGGAGTTTTCTGCGGCAATGGGGGTGCTGGGGACTTCTTGCCATCCTTTTTGGAGGGAGTGGGAGATGTGGGCGGAGTTGACTGCTCCACGTCTGAAGAGTCTGTATTCTGTAAAGATATTCATCATTAGAGCTCGCTTAAAGAAGTATAAAAAGTTATGAGATTCTCCAAATCTTATCCTAAGGATGACAAAATTATAGGTGTTCACATGATTTTGCACCTTATACCTCAAGATAGAAGATCTAGTTACCCATGCTAGTAGACTCTGCACAGTAAGTGTGACGGTATCTCCTGCTGCCTTGATAAGCTGCACGGCGCGCTCGTGCTGTGCTGACCTCACGCATACTCCATCCACTTCTAGGATCCTGTCGCCTGTCTGTGAGAAATTGAGAAGTTAGATCAATAGAGATTATGAATGAAAGTGGTTTAGGAGATGTTCTATGTTATCTATTGCTTCATCTAAAACCGAAGATTCATTTAAATAAATTAAAGAAAACTTCAGGGGTACAATATCGAAACAAGTTAGTGGGTATGATTGAATTGGATTGGATTGCTACTAGGCTGGAGGTGGACCCAATTCACTCCACTTGTCTTATGCAAATAACGCATAGTCAAAACTCTCTAGCAGTAGGATTTACTTAACTAATTGCCTTATGCCCGAATATTGAAAGGCTACTCAATTTAACAACGCTTGCATTGTGTTTCGTCGTGCGAATGAGGTTACCGCAGGCCCAATTACCCTCCCCTCCTTCCCTAATCTCCCCAATCCCTGAATCCCCAACAATCCTCAAATTTCTAATTCCCAAAAGGCTGGTAACGCTCTTGTATTGCCTCTGGTGTTTCGAGAGCGAAGTCGATTGCTTACCATCAGGTAATTCGTCTGCTCGTTTACCGGCTTATCCCATTAAAAGTACTTAAGTATCGTGCCATCTCTGTCATTTTAAAAGAATTTGTAGTGACGGAAATATACTCAAATGCGACTTAAAATTGAGTAACGTTTGACTATTTGGGCATTAGAGGTCTAAAATGAAAGTAAAAAGGGGTCTAGATCTTTCTATTTTTTCTCATTCAGGAATAGACATAATAACAACACTTTGTTTTGTTTCTATTTAAATGCATGTTACACTTCTCATATGGGCATATAAATAAAACGGACGGTAGGATGACCCCTGTAACACAGGTCCACCACATATTGTATTACCCATAATTGCAAATAAACTATCTTTATCTTTATCTTTAAATGTCTTCATGAATTCTAGATAAGTGTCATGATATTTTAATACTAGCTGTGCCCGCGACTTCGTTCGCGTGGTTGTCGAAAACAAAACAACATCGTTTAGGTAACAGTGGGCTATATACATATGAACTCCACTCAAGAAGATGGTATAGTATTTTTTTTTGCCAATAAAGATCCTGACTATAGTATATTTTTATTTGGTAAAATTGGTATCTACTTGATTACGTTAATGCTTCCCTATATAATAGATTAGCGGTTGAATTACCCGGAGCATTATACAAAAAGGTTTTTGTTTTGTTTTTTTTTTTGAGGCATTTTTAAGGAAAATATCAAAGTAATATACAAAACCGACAAAATTTTAAAGATCGGTGCGTCGAACAGTCTCGTATTATAGAAAATCGTCTGTTCGTGGTCACGACTTAACGAATTCGTTACACTCACTGTAACGATTGGCACTATTCAAACTCAGAAGTAAATACTTCTACTTTAGGGATGATACGTATTTACTGGTAGGTACAGGTATAAATACCTAGTTTGAGCTTACCAGTACGCATACTGGTTATGTAAGCAGAAACCCGGTCCCTATTCGTTCCGTTCGTATTCATGACCTATGATCTCGTGTAAAATGCCGACATCGTCTAGAGTCTAGACAGTAACGCATCATCCAAGGTTGTCAAAAATATGAGCTTATGGCACCGACTAAAAGTCGGTCAGTGGGTGAGGAGTAACTCATCAATACTAATATGGTTATTTTTTTGCTTTTTAGTTTTTATTTGTTTTTAGTTTTTAGGTTTTTTGAGAAGTCGGTTTTTTAACCGCAGTTTTTTTTATTTTGTCATTTTAGTGAAAACTACATAGACCCATTTTGCCACTTTAATCCACATAGGTGCAAAGTTCTAATCAATACAAATTATGCAAACCCAAACACAATGTAGTTACGTGAAAACGACACCCATGATGATAAATTAAAAATTTCGTGCAGCCGCCATCTTAGATTTACATTTTGACAGCACCATCGGTTTTACCACCCTCGAAAACCATGAAAACGATACCCATGGCGATAAATTAAAAATTTCGTGCAGCCGGCATCTTGGATTTACATTTTGACAGCACCATCGGTTTTACCACCCTCGAAAACCATAAAAACGATACCCATGATGATAAATTAAAAATTTCGTGCAGCCGCCATCTTGGATTTACATTTTGACAGCAACATCGGTTTTTCCACCCTCGAAAACCATGAATACGATACCCATGGCGATAAATTAAAAATTTCGGGCAGCCGCCATCTTGGATTTACATTTTGACAGCACCATCGGTTTTACCACCCTCGAAAACCATGAAAACGATACCCATGACGATAACTTAAAAATTTCGTGCAGCCGCCATCTTGGATTTACATTTTGACAGCACCATCGGTTTTACCACCCTCGAAAACCATGAAAACGATACCCATGATGATAAATTAAAAATTTCGTGCAGCCGCCATCTTGGATTTACATTTTGACAGCACCATCGGTTTTACCACCCTCGAAAACCATGAATACGATACCCATGGCGATAAATTAAAAATTTCGTGCAGCCGCCATCTTGGATTTACATTTTGACAGCACCATCGGTTTTACTACCCTCGAAAACCATGAAAACGACACCCATGACGATAAATTGAAAATTTCATGCAACGGCAAACATACATAAAAAAGAAACAATTCGAACATAGTGCCTCCTCCTCTTTTTGAAGTCCATGGCCCTCTTTTTTTTTTTTTTTTTTTTTAAGGGGGGAAAATCATCGAATGACTGCTCCCGCCTGGGTGAGGCGGAGGGGAGTGTCAGACTCTTACTGACTAAAAACCACCCCGTTCCTTCTCCTGCACGTCGAGCCGGAGCCCCGGTTACCCGTTAGGTTCTCCGCGACTCCGAATCGGCATCGGCCCTATTGGGCCCCATCTGTGGTGGTCTGATGGCTCTTTAAGGCGCGCGCGGAACGCGACGCGCCGTACGCTCGGGCCTCTACGGCGCCCCTGTGTGGGCGCCGAACCTGTCGCAACCGAGGGCTGGGCTCGCTGCCATTGCAGCGGTAAGTCTACTCTTTGAGGAGTGGCTTGAGAGACGCTACGGCGTCCTCACCTACCGCCTGACGCAGGTCCTCACCGGACATGGAAGTTTCGGGAGGTACCTGTGTCTGATGGGGCGGGAGGAAACGCTCGGGTGGCATCACTGCGAGGTCCGTCCTGTGGATACGGTGGAACACACGGAATGCGGAATATCGCATAGCGGAATGCCCTGTGTGGGCTGAGCACCGCCGTGCCCTCAGGTAAATGATCGACGATGGCGACCTCTCGCGTCCGGGCCTAGTGCAGGCCATGATGCGGAGCGAGGGGGGCTGAGATGCCGTCTCCTCTTTTAGCGAAGCAGTCTTGCTAGCTAAGGAGGAGGCGGGACGATCTACCGTAAGCGTGGGTTTGCGGACGGCGAGCATGGATGGCTCCCAGTCCGACCAGAAACAAACCCGAGCGTATGGCGTGTCGCGTTCCGCGCGCGCCTCAAAGAGCCATCAGACCACCACGGATGGGCCCCAACAGGGCCGATGCTGATTCGGAGTCGCGGAAAACCTAACGGGTAACCGGGGCTCCGGCTCGACGTGCAGAAGAAGGAACCGGGTGGTTTTTAGTCAGTAAGAGTCTGACATTCCCTCCCGTCTCACCCACGCGGGAGCAGTCATTCGATGACTTTCCGACTGAAAAAAAAATGTACTTGTTTAAAATATCAAGTTAGTATCTTTACTTTGGACTTAAAACCAATAACCAAACGAAACCAATTTTCCAAAGGTGTCGTTTCAAGTACTATACTGAATTGCGTGTTGTAATATTTTACTTGAGCTCACTAAATTAATCATATCTTCTGATAGAGTGAACCGATTTCGATGAAACAAAAACTAAGTTATACCTCAAGTTGCATAGAATTTTTGTATATAAGCAATGTCTGCATTGAATTTGTAGATTTTACGTGATGCGCGCACAAACAAACAGACAAACAGACAAACAGACAAAAATTTCAAAAATGATGGAAATGGGTTCTGTTAGTTATCTTTTAACACGCTGGCTATTTTTTTTGTCAATTCCTTCAATGTACAAAAATTACTTTTCTATAGATTTATTATATGTATAGATGTACATAAGTACTTCTTTGTTTTGAATAAATGAAATGAAATGACTTACTTGTAACTCCCCACAGTTCCCCGCTGGACTGCCAGGCACCACGTTTTTGATGAAGATCCCGAATATAGCCTTCTCTTCACCTTCCTCGCCATCACGATTTGAGATTATGTCAACCTTATGAATAAAACAATAGAGTTGAGTTTAGTAGGCTCATTCTTTTAGCTATTATATTGCATAACATCACGCCTTTTATCCCCAAAGGGGTAGGCAGAGGTGCACATTACGACACTTAATGCCAAAACAATGTAACATCCACTTTTCACTATTTATGGTACGAGTTCCATGTAATAGGGGGTGAGCCTATACCGGGCACAATTCCAGGCTCCGTGCTACTACTGAGAATTTTGAAAAACCCAGTAATACTTTGCCCGACCCGGGAATCGAACCCGAGATCCCTTGCCCGGCAGTCGCACTTGCGACCACTCGGCCAACGAGGCAGTAGATATTGCATATCTACTTAAATGTCAGTCAGTCGGAGAGAAATCTATAGCCAAGAGAATTTCATCTACCAATCAAATTTCTTCTCTGTAGCAACAACCTTATGGTGCATTTTTTAATGTCTCACCTTGCCACCAACAATACTGACGCCCAGTGGAGCGCCAGGGCTCCGCTTGAGTGTGACCTGTCGCGGCGAGCCCCACCGCTGCGCCGCCAGCGCGTCCGACCGCCTGTCGGCTGATACTGTCACCGTCATCGTCGGTGGGGCGTAGCTGGGGGAGTAAATGTGCTGTTAGAATCTAGACTACTTCATAAATAGACCAAAAATTGTGGAGATGTAACTAAAAAAGTGACACCAGTGCTCGTCTGGCTCCATATAATCCTACATAACATAACATCACACCTTTTTGCCCCGAATGGGGTAGGCAGAGGTGTACATTAAGCCACTGCCACTGTACATGAGTCCCATGTAATGTAATGGGCACAATTGCAGACTCGGTGCTACTACTGAGATTTTTTACCCAGTAATAGTTTGCACGACCCGGGAATCGAACCCAAGACGATTCCCGCACGGAACAACACTTTGTGTGATCCACAGATTGTTGTTCCGAGTCTAGGTGTCATGTGTATATGAACTTGTATGTTTGTAAACGCACCCACGACACAGGAGAAAATTCTAGTGTGGAGCAATGTTTATTATTATCATTTTTGAATTATTCTTCTTATTTTATACAAATCTAAACTGCAATGCTATTAAGAACAGACGCATTCTTGTGGCATGTGTCTATTAGTCATTACTCTACACCCAAAGTAATCACATGGAAACCATATAGCTACATCTATCTATACATATAATAAAATCGTAGAAAAGTGAAAATTGTACAACAAATATTTTTTAAAAGAATGCTTTGGGCGTGATCTGCAGTCGATACCGAAACAAAAAATATGGTTTTTAGAATTTTTGTATGTTTTTCTGTTTGTCTGTATGTAACTCACAAAGTGCTGCATGGAATTCCATCAAATTTTACATGAACATTACTTACAGGTTGGGTCAACATAGGCTACATATTATCATGCTATCAACTACGGAGGAGGAGCTGTGAATTACTATTACACGCGGACTAAGTTGCGGGTTTAGCTAGAGAATCGTATAAATGCAGGTATACATAGCAACACGTCCTCAAAACAGGATCATGTGACGCCAAGTGCTGGGGCGGAAGACTCAATATTGGATAAGTGTGATGAGATGACAATTGAGAAGTGCATGCTCCCACCGACACCGGCCGGCGTGATCCGACGATATAAATAACACAATTATGTTGAGTTACTGGACTATTGGAGCATCTTTTTTTTATTTGTATTTATTTACCTACTAGCTTTTACCCGCGGCTTCGCTCGCGTCACAAAAGAATAAAAAGTAGCCTGTGTGACATATACCAATACACACAGCGCCATCTATATCAATACTTTTGCTTTTCCTCGGGAATATCAATTTTTACGGGTTAAAAAGTACCCTATCATTTAATCCGGACTTCTAACTTAACGTCTGCAAAAATTCAAAGCAATCGGTTGAGTAGTTACGTGAAGGTGGTACAAATAAAAAAACAAACTCACTTTTAGATTTATAATATTAGTAAGGACTAGTAAGGATTGGACGAGGTTTTTATTATGAATCATTCAATTTAAAATACACATGAATAATTGGGGTAATTATTTTATTTTTATTAATAGCAACAACATTTATAGGATATGTTTTATAGACACTGAAGATATTCTTATATCTTACCGATTCTGTCTTGAATTATATACAAAAATATTGCTATCTGGTGGGATCTTGTAACCACGAGTTTGTCTACTGCGCAGGTATATTATAATACCATAATTATATTTCGGTATTTTAGGTAATCCCCTAGAGGTTTTCCCTGTCTGACACAACTAAAAGAGAATTTCTTGAAATCTAAATTTCAAATGACTGCACGGTTGGTACGGTGGCTGGGCAAACGGCTGCCGTGCAACTTGTCGCAGGTTCGATTCCCGCAAGGAACAAACACTCTGAGTGATCCACAAAGTGTTGCTCCGGGTCTGGTTGTAATGTATATTTTTTTTAGGGACAAGCTCGCCGCAATCTCCCGAAACCGCTGCTTGTAACTTGTGAACTTGTATCTTTGTAAACGCACCCACGACACAGGAGAAAATCTTAGTCAGAGGCAAAGTTTTTTTTAAGAGAAAAAAAATCCCGGGAACCCTGACTGTTAAGGAATTTGACCAACTGCTCGAACAGTAATTGATAATACTGTCTTTTAACCATATACTATATACTATTTTATATAAAGCGGAAGAGTTTGTTTTTTGTTTGTTTGTTTGAACGCGCCAATCTCCGTAACTACAAGTCTGATTTGAATCATTCTTTGTGTTGGATAGCGCATTTATTGAGGATGGCTATAGGCTATAAAACATCACGCTACGATCAATAGGAGCTAAGCAGAGCGTGTGAAACCGCGCGGAAGTAGCTAGTATCTCATAATCATACTAAATAGTAAAAAAATATCAGCTAAGAAAAATATTAAAGTAGCCATAATCGGCTAAAATGTGGTCGCCGTCGTGGTGGTCCGGAGTTCAAAACCAACGTCTGACGAAACAGACAACCAATGAGACTTTTTCCGAGTTATATTCACTTTCTAAGATTATTTAGATACCACTGACAATCGGTGAAGGAACACATTGCAAGGAAACCAATGCTAATGATTTCTAATTATAAGTTTCAAATTGCGAACCGTCTTCGTGTGAGAAGAAACCTTCGGACTTATAGGCTGTTGATGTAACCGGCTAAATTAACATTATACAAAAAAGTATATTCAGTCTTTCGACCCTAATAAGTCCTCTTATTTCCATGTAAACTGTACAATTTGTACAACAAAACGTCATTGTCAACGAAGTGGCAGCCAACAGGGCTTTACATTTTCTTTTCTTCATTGAACTTAGGGAATAACAAAAGAATACAAAGTTACTTCAGATTTGTAGCGAAAGCCGAACGGTTTTGGAAATAGATTGGCTGGCTTTGAGTCACACGGTGATGCTATCGGAGGCTGGATTCTTTGTGCCAAGTGTTTTGGTAGTAGCATTTCTTTAGTTAAACTGAGAATTGTTGTATTTCGAACGAAAACTTCAATCTATACATCTAATACATATAAAAGAAAGTCGTGTTGGTTACACTATTTATAACGCTAGGACGGCTACATTGACCGACAGAGGATACTTTTTACTCAATACTCATTTTTACTTTTTACCGCAAAATCACCAACAGGAACGGGAAACATCGGAATGGCGCGTTCGAAGTGGGCAGAAGCAAGTAGATTATATTAAAGTTGTCATCTGAAGCTATACCAAAAAATTAAACTTTTTTAAGGGGGGAAAATCATCGAAAGACTGCTCCCGCCTGGGTGAGGCGTGAGGGAGTGTCAGACTCTTACTGACCAATCCCGTTCCTTCTCCTGCACGTCGAGCCGGAGCCCCGGTAACCCGTTAGGTTCTCCGCGACTCCGAATCGGCATCAGCCCTGTCCGTGGTGGACTCTTTGAGCGCCGTACGCTCGGGAAAAAATTACACTTGGTTTCTCTCGTGTGTCAATTTGTCAACTTGAAAACTGGGTTAGGAATACTATGAATAGGACCAAATGCTATCATTCTCATCCTAATTTTAAAAGCAAAAAGTAGACGTAGAAACAAACTGGAATACAGTCTAGCATCACGATCGACTGCACGGTTGGTGCGGTGGCTGGGCAACCGGCTGCCGTGCAACGTGTCGCGGGTTCGATTCCCGCACGGAACAACACTTTGTGTGATCCACAAATTGTTGTTCCGGGTCTGGGTGTCATTGTGTATGTGACCTTGTATATCTGTAAACGCACCCACGACACAGGAGAAAATCCTAGTGTGGGGCAACGTTATTTAAAAAAAAAAAAAAAAAAAGAAAAAAAAAATCAAAAAATTGGATAACTATTGACTAATGGAGACGTTTTTCCAAATATACATGCACAGGACTTCATCTATTAGTTACAATCGAATTACCAGTACTCCGAACATGTATATCGTGACCAAACATCAAGAATACAACGAATGACAGGCAAAGAAATGCTTCATAAATTATTAATAGATCGATCCAGTTGGTAAAGGTCAGGAGAACCAATATAAAAACTTAATTCAAACCATAGGGTTGTTACCTACAATTTTATTTTAATGTCCGTCTGGTAGATTGTTTTAAAACATTAGACACATTTTTTTTCTCACAGTAATATATACTTTATTTTTTTTATTGGGACAAGCCCGCCACAACCTCCCAAAACCGCTGCAACTCCTGTAAGCCAGGATCTACAGTAGATACAACCATGAAAACACCGGAACACTGAAGTCCGGCGCGTCCCAGAGACATGAGTAACTGTCTTGGTTCCCGCAACGAAATGAATCAGAAGATATTATAAGAGGAGAAGAAGAAAAAACTATAGTTTCCACTTCCCTCGGTGAATTACTGCAGGAGGCAGAATGAATTAAGCCTAAAGGCACAAAGAAGAGACTATACAACTGGGTGAAAGTAATATATACTTTCGCCAACATAACATAATATCACGCCTTTTATCCCCGAAACGGTAGGCAGAGGTGCACACGTTTCTCTATTTATGTTATGAGTCCCATGTAATAGGGATTGAGACTATTGCCATATACCGGGCACATTCTCAAATTCCGTGCTACTACTGAGATTTTTTTAAAACCCAACAATACTTTGCCCTATCCGGGAATCAAACCCGAGACCTATTGCCACTTGCGACCACTTGGCCAATGAGACAGTCTCAGTACTTTCGACAATACATAATTATTATTGATTTGAAATATCTTGTGACGTCACAATTTAGTCTAATGAACGGTGACGTAACGACCTGCTATTCTTAAACTTTGATTTATTTAAGTATGGTTTTCTTATGCGACATTACAAAAAAAATACGTGTTCCTATAATAGTTTTTCATTATCTAACTGACGGACTAAATAGATTTTGAATAATATATAAAATACGTCTTACTCCAATTACTTAAACAAGTACCACCTTAATGAAATAAACAAGACAAATGTTAACTTTAGTACATTTCGTCTAATAATAAAACAGTTAGTGCAATAATATAATCTAATCAATTTATGGCAAATAGTAATATTATAATAATAGTTACAAAACAAGCTTCCTCCTCTCTTCTACGTTGCCGTGCCCTACGGGGTCCATAATGTA